GATGATGATGATGATGATGATGATGATGAGGATGAGGATGAGGATGAGGATGAGGATGAGGATGAGGATGAGGATGAGGATGAGGATGAGGGTGAGGATGAGGAGGAGGAGGAGGAGGAGGAGGAGGAGGAGGAGGAGGGAGAAGATGAGGACAGCAGAAGCACTTGGCTTCAAGCTTCTGCTTCCAGCGCGCGCCCCGCTGCACGGCGAAGAGATGCTTCGTCATATCTCGCCTGGTACCCCATAGGCTAGGTTTGAACTCCTGGGAGGTTGACTTTAGCATCGGCGCTACATTAGCATTATGTCCGTGGACCTAGGCGGCCTAATTTGGCCTGATTCGGCCGAACCCGCTGTTTATTCCCCACATCCTGAGTGGGGTTCTTGTTTTCCCAGAACACCCTCTCCTTCCCACCCACCTCCCGCTCCATCTTCCATACAGCACAATATTATTACTACCACACACACCATACCATACCATAGTTCCTACCACACATACCATACCATACCATACCATACCATACCACACCATACGTACCATACCGTACCATACCATACCATGGCGTACCATAGCATACCATACCATATCACTGCCCCTCCCACCCCTCCAGGGAGGCCCCGCCTGAGCGAGGAGGGTATCGGAATACCATACTATTTACATGGTTTCGTGCCCCTCCCACCCCTCCAGGGAGGCCCCGCCTGAGCGAGGAGGGTATCGGAATACCATACTATTTACATGGTTTCGTGCCCCTCCCACCCCTCCAGGGAGGCCCCTGAGCGAGGAGGGTATCGGAATACGATAGGGAGGCCATCGGAATACCATACTATTTAGGTTATCGGAATGGTTTCGTGCCCCTCCCACCCCTCCAGGGAGGCCCCGCCTGAGCGAGGAGGGTATCGGAATACCATACTATTTACATGGTTTCGTGCCCCTCCCACCCCTCCAGGGAGGCCCCGCCTGAGCGAGGAGGGTATCGGAATACCATACTATTTACATGGTTTCGTGCCCCTCCCACCCCTCCAGGGAGGCCCCGCCTGAGCGAGGAGGGTATCGGAATACCATACTATTTACATGGTTTCGTGCCCCTCCCACCCCTCCAGGGAGGCCCCGCCTGAGCGAGGAGGGTATCGGAATACCATACTATTTACATGGTTTCGTGCCCCTCCCACCCCTCCAGGGAGGCCCCGCCTGAGCGAGGAGGGTATCGGAATACCATACTATTTACATGGTTTCGTGCCCCTCCCACCCCTCCAGGGAGGCCCCGCCTGAGCGAGGAGGGTATCGGAATACCATACTATTTACATGGTTTCGTGCCCCTCCCACCCCTCCAGGGAGGCCCCGCCTGAGCGAGGAGGGTATCGGAATACCATACTATTTACATGGTTTCGTGCCCCTCCCACCCCTCCAGGGAGGCCCCGCCTGAGCGAGGAGGGTATCGGAATACCATACTATTTACATGGTTTCGTGCCCCTCCCACCCCTCCAGGGAGGCCCCGCCTGAGCGAGGAGGGTATCGGAATACCATACTATTTACATGGTTTCGTGCCCCTCCCACCCCTCCAGGGAGGCCCCGCCTGAGCGAGGAGGGTATCGGAATACCATACTATTTACATGGTTTCGTGCCCCTCCCACCCCTCCAGGGAGGCCCCGCCTGAGCGAGGAGGGTATCGGAATACCATACTATTTACATGGTTTCGTGCCCCTCCCACCCCTCCAGGGAGGCCCCGCCTGAGCGAGGAGGGTATCGGAATACCATACTATTTACATGGTTTCGTGCCCCTCCCACCCCTCCAGGGAGGCCCCGCCTGAGCGAGGAGGGTATCGGAATACCATACTATTTACATGGTTTCGTGCCCCTCCCACCCCTCCAGGGAGGCCCCGCCTGAGCGAGGAGGGTATCGGAATACCATACTATTTACATGGTTTCGTGCCCCTCCCACCCCTCCAGGGAGGCCCCGCCTGAGCGAGGAGGGTATCGGAATACCATACTATTTACATGGTTTCGTGCCCCTCCCACCCCTCCAGGGAGGCCCCGCCTGAGCGAGGAGGGTATCGGAATACCATACTATTTACATGGTTTCGTGCCCCTCCCACCCCTCCAGGGAGGCCCCGCCTGAGCGAGGAGGGTATCGGAATACCATACTATTTACATGGTTTCGTGCCCCTCCCACCCCTCCAGGGAGGCCCCGCCTGAGCGAGGAGGGTATCGGAATACCATACTATTTACATGGTTTCGTGCCCCTCCCACCCCTCCAGGGAGGCCCCGCCTGAGCGAGGAGGGTATCGGAATACCATACTATTTACATGGTTTCGTGCCCCTCCCACCCCTCCAGGGAGGCCCCGCCTGAGCGAGGAGGGTATCGGAATACCATACTATTTACATGGTTTCGTGCCCCTCCCACCCCTCCAGGGAGGCCCCGCCTGAGCGAGGAGGGTATCGGAATACCATACTATTTACATGGTTTCGTGCCCCTCCCACCCCTCCTGCGTCGCGAGGAGGGCATCAAGAAAATGGGTCCCACGAAACCGTTAATCTCTTTATGTGGGGAACTCCGTTAGCATAATTGTTTTCATTCCGCTCGGCGGCTGAACAGCAACGCCCAGTCGGGCGGATCAGTCCTCAACCGTCCCCGCCAAGACCTCCCAGGAGCCGCCTCCTGATCCAGGACTCCCGGGCGGGGGCGTCTACCGAGACTCCCGAGGTAATGTCTTTCTCATGACCGTCGACCCCCAGAGGTCTGGACCCCTTCCTGGGGACCAGAGGGCTCCCCTCGCCGCCTCCTCCCCTCGTGTGTTCGGCCGTGGCCCCGCGTGAGACGCAGCCATCCGGCCCCCGCGCAAAAGAGCACCGAGAGCCGCCAGAGGCCCTGAGGCCGCCAAGGGCCAGTGGGCGACCTGGGGTCCCCATGGTCGAATGCGGAGCTCAGTCCCCGCTGCCTCCTCCCTCGTGCCCAGACCCCCTCGAATCGTGGAAGAAACACGGCGGGAGGTGTTTGACAATCTTCAGCCTCCGGCTGCCCTCGCCGAGCCTCGGGACCGTCAAAGAACGATTCGGGATGAAAAACCGGCCCTGGCCATGGGGAAGCGGTCGGGACCTCCAGGGATCGCGTATGGAACAAATCAAGACATCGCATGCCTGTGGTTGCTTCCTCCCTCATCCCGCTTTCCCCTCGCCCCTGTCTGGGCTCCCCCCACCTGTCTTGCGCGGTTCCGCTCCTTGCTGCTGCAGCTTCCTTCCGGCCTGACCATTGCAGAGGCAGGAGTGCGCTCCCTGCAGAGGAAGGGCTGGTGCCACCGCCAACGGATCATGTTGCAAACGCTAGGCATTCTTATGTTCCTCCTCCTTTCGATGAGTCGAAGAGGATTGGGGAGGAGGTGGAGCTTGCTTGCGACCTCTCGCTGAAGTCGGTGAGGTCGATCGGGCGCTGTTGTATCATGGGGCCTCCTTCCAAGTGAACCGTACTACGACCTCCAAGGGTCCACACTTTAGGGCATCAACTCGTTTGGCTGCGTTTACCCCGGCCGCTTACGTCAGTAGCGGCTTTCCCGTTTTGGTTTGACTTGCTCCTCAATGGTTTGAGTTTGGTCTAGTCGGCTTCTGTGGTCTGGTCTGATTCCCCAAACTTTGCTTGCACTAAGAGATTCGGATTCCTCTTTCTAAGGAATTGGGTGGGTCCAGGGAGTGTTTGCCACTTTGCCGCCCTTTTCTTCCTCGCTGCCGCCTCGTTTGCCGGGTGAGTCGGGCGGGTTATCGCTATGTTGCCGCCCGTTGCCGCCTCGTTGCCGGCCGCCTCGTGCGCTGGGCAGGTCCTGCGAGATTTCACCACATTGCTGCCCGTTGCCGCCTCTTTGCCGCCTTGTGCGCTAGGTGGGTCCAGCGAGATTTCGCCACGTTGCCGCCCGTTGCCGCCTCGTTGCCGCTTCGTTTCAGCCTCGTGCGCTGGGTGGGTCGGGCGAGTTTTCGCCACGCTGCCGCCCGTTGCCTCCTCGTTGGCGCCTCTAGCTTGCACCTCATAGTTTCCACCACTTAGCTTGCACCACATAGCTTATACACATCCACAGTGCAGCAACCTATTTGTTTGTTGGCCCACGCTGGCTAACACATGATGTAGGCGTGTGCTTTCACGGGAAGGTGAAGGGAAGTGTGCGCGGTTGATGCCTCCGGTTGCCATAATTATGCTCAAGCCTCTTGCTCTCTGATGCGTCGATGGACCTGGTCCAACTTCAGGACCGATCCCCGATCCCTGTCCTCGCGCTGGGGCTTGCCTGGGTCGGCTGGCAGGCAGTCGAGCTCGGCCTGGCCGCCGCGGGGCCGCCCGGCCTCTCGGGCGAGCGCCAGGTGTTGAAAAGGAGCCGCCCTCTATCCGTGAAATTCTTGGAAACGTTTACAAAGAATGTGCGCGGCGCTAAGGCGAGGGCCACATTTTGAAAAGGAACCGCCCTCAATCCGAGAAGCTCTTGTGAACTTTTATAAAGACGGTGCGCGGCGCTAAGGCGGGAGCCACATTTTGAAAACCAACCGCCCTCAATCCGTGAAGCCCTTGCAACTGTTTACACAGAATGTGCGCGGCGCTACGGCGGGAGCCACATGTTGAAAACCACCCGCCCTCAATCTACGAAGCTCCGGTAATTGTGTACAAAGAGTGTGCGCGGCGCTAATGCGAGAGCCACATTTTGAAAATCATCCGCCCTCAATCCGTGAAACTATTGCAGTTTGTAAAAACGAATGAAGCCCGGCGCTAAGGCGAGAGCCACATTTTGAAAACGACCCGCCCTCCATCGGTGAAACTTTTGTTATTTTGAAGCTTCAGAGTTATAAATGGTGAGGAAGTCTCAGGCGAAACACCTGGCCCGCCCAAAAAATTGGCCCCGGGGTGCGACAGCGAGGAGTTTTTTGTAATGAGGAGGAGGAGGAGGAGGAGGAGGAGGAGGAGGAGGAGGAGAAGGAGGAGGGAAAGGAGGAGGAGGAGGAGGAGGAGCCCCTCTTCGGCCCCTCAGTCCGCAGCGCGCGAACGGCTCAAGCGCCGCCGCCTAACTGCGGGTGCCTGGCCACCCCCCGCACCCCCCATTCGGGCATGGAATGGCGCCCGACGGGGGCGCCGCAGACGCTCGTGTCCCCCCTGCCGACGCCCTTCTCGCTACTCCTCCTCACCGCACAAAGAATAGAGGATCGAATAAGGATCGAGGAGGACGAGGCGGAAGACGAGGCTGAGAAGGAGGAGGAGGAGGAGGTGGAGGAGGAGGAGGAGGAGACGGAGGAGGACGAGGAAGAGGAGGAGGAGGAGGATTGGCTCGATTCGACTCCTCAATCAGCACCGTGAGGAGGAGGAGCAGGAGGAGGAGAAGGAGGAGGGGAGCGGGATGACGAGGAGGAGGAGGAGAAGGAGGAGGAGGAGGAGGGAGGAAAAGGGAGGAGTGCAAAGGATGATGAGTATGATCATGATGAACATGATGATGGAGATGATGATGCTGCTGATGATGATGATGATGATGATGATGATGCTGATGCTGATGCTGATGATGCTGATGATGATGGTGATGATGGTGCTGATGCCGATGCTGATGCTGGTCATGATGCTGATGATGATGATAAGTGACTATTATGATGATGGTGATGCTGATGCTGATGCTGATGATGATGATGATGATGATAATGCTGATGATGATGTTGATGGTGATAATGATGATGATGGTGATGGTGATGGTTACGGTGATGGTGGTGATAACGATGGCTATGCCGATGATGATAATGACGATGATGCTAATGACGCTGATGACAATGATGGTGGTGATGATGCTGCTGGTGATGCTGCTGATGATGATGAGTATGATACTGACAATGATGATGATGCTGATGGTGATGGTGATGGTGACGGTGATGCTGATCATGCTGATGATGGTGGTGGTGATGGTGATGATGTTCATGAAGCTGATGATGATGATGATGATGATGATGATGATGATGATGATGATGATGATGATCATGATACTGATGATGATGATGCTGCTGATGATGATGATGCTCATGATGAAGATGATGCTTATGCTGCTGATGATGATGCTGATGATGATGATGATGCTGATGATGATGATGATGATGACGATGATGATTATGATTAATGTGATGATGATGATGACGATGCTGCTGATGATGATCATGATGCTGCTGATACTGATGCTGATGCTGATGATGACGATGATGCTGATGATGCTGATGATGACGATGATGCTGATGATGCTGATGATCATGATGGTGATGGTGATGGTGTGGTGATGATGCTGATGCTGGTGCTGATGCTGATGCTGATGCTGCTCATGATGGTGATGATTAGGAGGAGGAGGAGGAGGAGGAGGAGGAGGAGGAGGAGGAGGAGGAGGGGGGGGGAGAGGACCAGGAGGAGTGGGGAGGAGGACCAGGAGGAGGAGGAGGAGGAGGAGGAGGAGGAAGAGGAGGAGGAAGAGGAGGAGTAGGAGGAGGAGGAGGAGGAGGGAGGATGGAGGAAAGGGAGAACGGATGAGGAGGAGGAGGAGGAGGAGGAGGAGGAGGAGGAGGAGGAGGAGGAGGAGGAGGGGGAGGAGGAGGAGGAGGAGGAGGGGGAGGAGGGAGACGCTTTGATTAGCGGGAAACGCAGAAACGCAGGGGGAGGAGGAGGACCTCCTGCCCCGACCCCCGACGTCGCGGTTTCCTCACAGCGAGGACCCCCCGAGGTCTCGCCAGGGCTTCTCAGCGCGAGAGTCGTTTGTTGGCGGCTCTGGGGGCCCTGCGAGCGCACCCCCGGGAACCTTGCCGTGATTTTGGTCAGGCTCGGGGTTGCGCTTGCCTTAGCAAGCCCCCCGCGAGTAGTCGCAGCTGGCCTCAACAGGCCTCCTCGAGTTGTCCAGGGCGGTCGCAGCACCTCAACCCTGGGGCGCGGAGTGCCCCAGGGACGCAGCCGGAGGCGGCGCCTGGGAGCTGAGACCGCCCCAGACTACTCGGGGGGGCTGTTGAGGCCAGCTGAAACCACCTCGGGAGGCCATCTGCGCGCAACCCGAAGCCTCATCCCCTAGACCCACAGCGTCGTGTTTTTTCTAGAAAGGTGGGCCCCTGGAGGTCCCGACCCCTTCCCTGGCACATCATTTTCAGCCCGGGTCGTTTTTTGATGGCCCCGGGGCTTGCTGAGGACCCCCAGAGGCCGCAGGTGGCCGAAGCATCCCGTCGTGATTTTTGTCACGACTCGAGCTCGAGGGGGGTCTGGGCGTCACCCTCCTCCCCATCTTCCTCCCCCTTCCTCGTCCCCAGATCCGACGTTGCAAACTCACGACCTGAGCCCGAGACCCGATTTATCGTGTTTTTTTGTCCAGCCAGATCGAGCTGTGATGGCCCTGGGGCCCGACGCTGGGCGAGAACAGATGCAGCGCCCAGATCTCGGGGCCCTCCTCCTCCTCCTCCTCCTCCTCCTCCTCCTCCTCCTCTTCCTCCTCCTCCTCCTCCTCCTCCTCCTCCTCCTTCCTGCTCTTCCTCCTTGGCCTCCCCCTCCCCTCCCCCAGCCTCCCTCTCCCTCCTCCCCCCCCTCTCGACGACGCGGCTGCCCGCGCGGAGGGCGCGGCCCGCCTGCGCCGGGCCCGGCTCGCCTCCTGGTGCCGCTGCTGCGAAGGAAGCGTGGAGCCCGGGGACGCGATCTTCCCCGTGGCTGGCGGGCGCGGCCCGGGGGAGGAGGCCCCGCTCGGGATCGGGGCTCAAGCGACGGGGGCCAATGCAAACGTTACCAGACTCGAACGTATCCCTATCCCTAAGATCGACGCGCCAAAAGGCGATGACAATCTTAGGGATTCCCCCTCAAAAAATAAGGGAATCCCTAAGATCGGCATCGTGATGAGGAGATGCCCAGCATAGGGATAGGGATATGTTCCAGGCTGGTAAAAACGGGGGTCAGCCAGGGCACCGGATCCTGCTGGATCCTGCGAAGACCCCCTCTGGCCGACCCGGGTCAGCGAGCCGCTCGTCGTGGCCGCGAGGCGGCCGCGCATCTTGGCGGACCCGGGTCTGCGAAGACCTGCGTTGCAGTTGTTTTTCCTGCATCGCAGTTTTTTGGTTTCCGGCTGACCCGGGTTTGGATTGACCCGGGTCAGAAGATCCCCGACTGGAAGGGGCGCCTCGGGGTTCGAGGTTCGAGGTTCGAGGTTCGAGGTGAGGTCTTCGGGTGCTTCTCGCACGCGCCCGGACATCTGCCAGCCTCGGGCTGCTCTCCAGCAGCTGCGCCTCGCCGAGGGCATTCCAGGGGTGCCCGGGCTCGCCCCGAAGGGCCGCCAGAAGCCCGAGGCGTGGCCCGAAGACCAGAGAGCGGCAGAGCTTCCCCGTGATGGACGGGCGCCGCTACCCTCCGCCCGTTTTCGCCCGTTCTCGGTCTCCTGGGAGGTCCTCGGCGCCACCGCTGGATCCGCTTCGACGTCCTGGTCAGAGGGGGCACCCCAGGAGAGGTCCGGGAGGCAGCGGCCTCCGTGAACTTGGCTTTCCCCCCAGAGGCTCTCGGGGGTCCGCGCGCGGACTCCTTGGGTCTGCGGTGTCCCCCCGTCCCCCCTGGCGGCGCCTCCGGCGCCGCTGGCCCCGCGCGCTCCGCACGCCAGGCAGGGGGCCCAGCGCCGACTCGACCTCCAGAGATCCGCGTGGACCTCCCAAAGCTTCTGGACCTCCTCCTCCTCCTCCTCCTCCTCCTCCTCCTCCTCCTCCTCCTCCTCCTCCTCCTCCCCCTCGGATCGTCTACTGAATTGATCTACCCCGATGTTGATTTTCTCGTCGAGTCATACGCAGGATGTTTGTAGATCTACGAACGTGCTGCGCATCTCTCATGGACTCGACGAGAAAACCCATCTGGGCTAGATCAGTTCCTGTAGTCGATCCCCCAAAAGAGTTCTGCCCCCCCGGAAGGCCAGGCGCAGCGGCCTGTCGTGGATCCACCTCGGCTGCGCCGAGGCGCCGAAGAGTCCGGGGCAACGTCAGCCAGGGGGGGGGGATAGCTGGGCTCAAGGGGGGGGCTGCATCGACCCGCAGGCGCCCACTCATCGCCCATGAGGGCCTGACGGCTCACCCCGCCAAAGGAGCGCGCGGATGCGTTACCCGCGGGCCTGTCGCCGATCTATCGGCGATGCATCGCCGATTCCGGCCCGATGCTTCTGCCCCCTGAGGCGGTCCCTTCCCCTAACGCTGCCCCTCTCGGCGGCGAGCCTGGGCGGGGAAGTGAAAGGGGGCAGGCGCGATCGGAGAAGGGGGCAGGCATAATCAGAAGGTGGCGGGGCTTCTCAGAAGCCTTCGCGCCTTGTGAGAAGTCTTCTGAGCCTTCTCCGAAGAGACATGCGGCTTCTCAGAAGGCGCGGGGGCTTTTGAGAAGCCCCGCCGCCTTCTGAGAAGGCCTGACCCTACCCCTTCCTTCAGATCTGATGTTGCCAAAACATGCAACATCGCAAACAATCACCACTGGCGCCCCAGACCACATCTTTCTGCGTCATTTTTCGAGTCGGACTGATCTGTGGGTGTCCCGAGCCCCGGAACCAAGCACGCCCGTTGAGCAAAACATGCACCGTCAACATCTCAGGGTTCCCCCCCGGGCTCGCCGCCAAGCTTCATCGTAGGAGGGGAATGCATCCACCACCGGTTCCCTCGACCTCCTCCCTCCGCGCCCCTCCGTGCTGCAAGCACCGCGGCGGCAGACGCGGCAGCGGGCCTGCCGCACGGGTGGCGCGGAGGGTGGAGGGCAAGGGCGAACCAGACAACTAGACATGCGGCGTGTTTAATCCTCACAGGACAGCTCGGGTCTAGTCCTCCTAGATGGGTCCGAGTATGTGAGGCCCGAGTAGATGGGACCCAGGCCTCCCAGAAGGGGTCCTAGTCGATGGGGTCGGAAGATCTCGCCGCATCGCCGATGCAGCGTCGCTGCGGCTCGATGTGCAGCCCGATTCTCTCCACGCCGACGGCGCCGATGCCCCGCCGACGTCGCTGATGCATCGCGGATGCGGCGAGATCTGTCGACCGCATCTACTCGGACCGCATCAAGGAGGCCTCCAATGGGGTGGTTGTATTTGGAGAGGTAGCCCAGGCATGCTGGCGTCGTGCACACAATCACGGCTAGAGGTTTTGGATGATTGTCGGCCTTTGGGGGCCAAGGGGCCCGGGACCGTCAGAAAAGAATTCGGGATTCAGAACCGGCGCTGGAGAAAGAGTCCCGCACATATGAAGCTTAACACATCGCACGTCTGGGCTGAAGTCAGGAGCTCCCGACCCGCCTCGCGCACCCTGCACACCGCGGCCGCCATGCCCAAAGTGTGCAGGTGCTCCCTGGGGGTCCCGTCTCGCGCTCTCGGGTGGGGACCGCCCGACGCAAAATGAGATGTGTTCGATGCGCGGCCCCCGGAAATCTTGGCCCTTTCCCCAGGGCTGGTTCTTTCGTCCCGCCGTTTTTGACTGTCTCCAGGCCCCGTGAGGGCGCCCGGAAGGCGACAAGGGCTTGGCACCTCCCCCGTCGTGGTTTTTTCACGGCTCGAGGGTGTCTGGAGAAGGTTCTATGGCCTCCCAGATGGGGCCCGAGGAGATAGGGTCGGTGGATCGCGCCACATCGCCGATGCACTGGCGATGTGGCTCGATGTGGGGCCCGAGATTCCTCACGCCGACGGCGCCGATGCATCGCCGATGTCGCCGATGCATCGGAGATGCATTGAGATGCGGTGCGGTCCGCCGACCCCATCTGCTCCGACCACATTTGGGAGGCCTCTAAGGGTGGAGGTCAGACTCGGTTTTGTGGCGTTGTGAGGTGGGGTGCTGTGCCCTGAGATCCGCCATGTGGATTGTTCAGAGGTTGTTTTCGGATGCCTGGTGCTTTGCTGTGATGTGCCGTGGGTGGCTTCGCATTCGCATTCGGTTGCCAAATGGAGGCAGAGGACAGGGCTTCACAGGACTCAGCTGGGCCCAGGTGTTGCTGAAAGTTGGCACCCGGCCTGGGCGGGAGGCCGCATCTCAGAGGAAGGGAACTTAAGACGCCGGTACCGCTGCTCGTCCCGGAGAGCCTTTGTGGCCACGGCTAGAGAGTCTCCCCGAAATTCGGACCAGAATGCTCCCAGGAGAGGGCACGTTCGCGTCACCCCAGAGTCCGCCAGGGTCCTGGCTCCGCAGGTGTGCTCGCAGAGGCGCGGCGATGGTGGGTGCGTTCTCTTCCCGCCAGGCAGGTAACGGCGGCACTCTGCCCCCCCGCCCCGTCTGCAAGCACTTTGTCCGGGCGGGGCGGTGCCAGTACGCCGAGGCGTGCTTCTTCGCGCACCCCGAGGGCCGAGACGTCGAGGCGGCCAGGCGTGCGGAGCGGCGGCGCGAGGCGCCGAACCAGAAGGTGGCCAATCGCGGCGAGGGTCGCCGGAATCACGTCAAGAACGACAGCCGCGTGTCGGTTCTGCGTCGTTGGTTGCTCGACCAGTTCGGCCTGGAGCACCTCAGGAGCAGGCGAGGCGTGCTCGACGTGGCTGGCGGCAAGGGCGAGCTGGCCTGGGAGCTGGTGAATCTGAACGGCGTTCCAGCGTGCGTGCTCGAGCCGAGGCTCGAAGAAGAAATAACGGCACGAACAAAAATTCAGCCACGCGCAGAGAGGGGTAGGGGGGAGGGGGGAAGGCTTCTTAGAAGCACACGTGCTTCTTAGAAGGCGCTGGCCTTTCCCAAAAATGCAGGGCCGCCGCCTTCTAAGAGGCAGCCTCCTTCTAAGTTCCCCCCTTCCCCTACCCCCCTGTGCTCGCCGCCAGAACACGTTCGAAGCTCCGCGCGGGTTTTCTGGATCTGCGCTGGGCCCTCCCGGCGGCGCCCCTGGCGGCGCCCCTGGCGGCGCCCCTGGGCTCCGCGTGCCAGGGGGGAGGGCCAAGCGCAGATCCAAGGAACCCGCGCGGAGCTCGGAAGGTTCATGCTTATGCAGATGCGTCTTCCTCTAGAGGCCTTTGGAGCTGTCCTCGTGCAGGAAGAAGTGGAGCCGTGGGCTGTATTGGCGCAACCCGATCTTTCACAGGTGGCTGCATTGCGGGCACGACCCCTCTGGGCCCACCTCCGCGCCGCCGCACGTGCGGATTATGCTGGAGTCGAGCGTAGTCGCGTGGGCGGCCGGAGAGTCAGAGGCCCTCTTTGCCCTCTCATGGCATAATTAGCTTGGGGTGTCGCGCAGGCAGCGCTTGGAAGTAGTCCAGGCTGGCCTCAGCAGGCCCTCTGGGCAGTCCCAGGCGGTCTCGACACCCCAACCCCGGTGCGCGCGGAGCCCTGGTAGCGCCGCTTCTGGTGGCGCGAGGGTGCTGAGACCGCCCTGAGCTGCAAGTGGGTCATGCTGAGGCCAGCCTGACTGACTCTGGGGGCTGTCTGTGCACAGCCCCAAGCCTTGCCACCCCCGTTCCTTTCGAGACTCTCTCCACCTCCTCCCCCTCTCTCTCCGACGGAGGAGGAGGAGGAGGAGGAGGAGGAGGAGGAGGAGGAGGAGGAGGCTGAGGAGGCTGAGGAGGAGGAACAGTATAAACCCAAGACGCACCAACGATGTTGCAAAACACTCTCCCTCCAAGCATCTTCTTCATACTTCCCTACAAGAATGTCTGTTCACTGCGGGAAGTGCCCCGTCGGAAGACATCCGCTTTAGAATTCGCAGTCGTTCTACATGACCATTCCTCGGATTCCAGCGCCGCGCATTAATGTGACAATTGCGTCCTGACGCTCCTATACCGTGCCAGAACACCATTCCTGGGACTTCACCGCGAATCAACGTAATTGTTGTGCCCTGACAAGATGAAACCGTGCTAGGACACCATTCCTAGGACTTCATACACTGTTAAATTGCTGCACGATATTTTCAGACAAATGTGCGCGGCGTTGACGCGAGAGCCTCATTTTGGAAACGGCTCGCCCTTCATCCTTGAAATTGCTGGAAAGTTTAAAGACGGGAGCAACATTTTGAAAAGGAGCCGCTCCATCATGGAACCTGTTGCAAAGCTCATAAATTGTGAGGATGTCTCAGTCGAAAGGCCGGGCCCGCCCTACCGACACGTCTGGGGGTGCGACAGGGAGGAGTTATTTATAAGGAACTTGATGGAGGAGGAGGAGGAGGAGGAGGAGGAGGATTTTTGTTGCGCTCCACGCCAACGCCTCCAGAACCCTGCGACCGCAGGGGCGCTCTACCCTGCTGCAACGGAGGGGGGTGCAGCAGAGGATACTGCACAAGCACGGGGAGTCTGGTCCGCCCCACCCCGAAGGAGAGACTGACCGACACAGGCCCCCCGACTGTGCGCGAAGGCACGCGCGAGGAAACCGCCGAAGACGAACACCATGGGCAGCTACGGGTGGCCGCCCCCAGCTGCCGCCGGCAGCAGCCCAGGCCGTGGGGCCCGGGGAGGGAGCCCGATGATGCGGTTCGCGCGCGCCATGATGCTGAGAGCCGCCTTCGACGAAGAGGCCGCACCGCCAGCTGCGGGAGCAAACGCCGCGGACGCAACCGCGGCAGCCGCACCAACTGCAGGAGGAGGAGGAGGAGGAGGAGGAGGAGGAGGAGGAGGAGGAGGAGGATTTTTGTTGCGCTCCACGCCAACGCCTCCAGAACCCTGCGACCGCAGGGGCGCTCTACCCTGCTGCAACGGAGGGGGGTGCAGCAGAGGATACTGCACAAGCACGGGGAGTCTGGTCCACCCCACCCCGAAGGAGAGACTGACCGACACAGGCCCCCCGACTGTGCGCGAAGGCACGCGCGAGGAAACCGCCGAAGACGAACACCATGGGCAGCTACGGGTGGCCGCCCCCAGCTGCCGCCGGCAGCAGCCCAGGCCGTGGGGCCCGGGGAGGGAGCCCGATGATGCGGTTCGCGCGCGCCATGACGCTGAGAGCCGCCTTCGACGAAGAGGCCGCACCGCCAGCTGCGGGAGCAAACGCCGCGGACGCAACCGCGGCAGCCGCACCAACTGCAGGAGGAGGAGGAGGAGGAGGAGGAGGAGGAGGAGGAGGAGGAGGAGGAGGAGGAGGAGGATTTTTGTTGCGCTCCACGCCAACGCCTCCAGAACCCTGCGACCGCAGGGGCGCTCTACCCTGCTGCAACGGAGGGGGGTGCAGCAGAGGATACTGCACAAGCACGGGGAGTCTGGTCCGCCCCACCCCGAAGGAGAGACTGACCGACACAGGCCCCCCGACTGTGCGCGAAGGCACGCGCGAGGAAACCGCCGAAGACGAACACCATGGGCAGCTACGGGTGGCCGCCCCCAGCTGCCGCCGGCAGCAGCCCAGGCCGTGGGGCCCGGGGAGGGAGCCCGATGATGCGGTTCGCGCGCGCCATGACGCTGAGAGCCGCCTTCGACGAAGAGGCCGCACCGCCAGCTGCGGGAGCAAACGCCGCGGACGCAACCGCGGCAGCCGCACCAACTGCAGGAGGAGGAGGAGGAGGAGGATTTTTGTTGCGCTCCACGCCAACGCCTCCAGAACCCTGCGACCGCAGGGGTGCTCTACCCTGCTGCAACGGAGGGGGGTGCAGCAGAGGATACTGCACAAGCACGGGGAGTCTGGTCCGCCCCACCCCGAAGGAGAGACTGACCGACACAGGCCCCCCGACTGTGCGCGAAGGCACGCGCGAGGAAACCGCCGAAGACGAACACCATGGGCAGCTACGGGTGGCCGCCCCCAGCTGCCGCCGGCAGCAGCCCAGGCCGTGGGGCCCGGGGAGGGAGCCCGATGATGCGGTTCGCGCGCGCCATGACGCTGAGAGCCGCCTTCGACGAAGAGGCCGCACCGCCAGCTGCGGGAGCAAACGCCGCGGACGCAACCGCGGCAGCCGCACCAACTGCAGGAGGAGGAGGAGGAGGAGGAGGAGGAGGAGGAGGAGGACAGGGAGTTGGAGGAGGAGGTGGAGGAGGAGGAGGAGGAGGAGAAGGAGGAGGAGTTGGGGAGGAGGAGGGAGGAGGAGGAGGAGGAGGAGGAGGAGGAGGACTTGGGGGAGGAGGGCGAGGTGGCTGGAGGGAGGGAGGGCCCCCCTGCAGGCCGGCGAGGCGGTGTTCGAAGGCGGCAGGCGCAGAGCCCGAGCGCTGGCCTGGACCCGGAAGGGCCTCCGGGAGCACGAGCCGGACGAGGCGGAGCCGCCCGCGCCCGCCGCCACGGCGCGCCCCCCGGCCTCCGAGCCCGCCGAGCCCAGCTCCGCGGACGAGGACCGAAGCTCCGCCGCGCCCCCGGAGGGAGAGGCAGGATGGGAGAGAGAGAGAGAGAGAGAGAAACAAAAATGAGAGAAAGACAGAAACATAAAAAGAAAGAAAAAACAAACATAACATGCATTTGCATATATAGACTTTCGGTGCTCCGCGGAGGTTTCTTGGATCGGCGCTGGGGCCCCCTCGCGGCGCCTCGGGCGCCGCCTGGCGCGCTCCGCGCGCCAGGGACGGGGTCCAGCGCCAGCCCAAGAGATCCGCTCGGACCCCAGGAAGTCTACGTTTATGCAGTCTTTTGCTCCTCTACAGGCCCGCCCCCCGGGCCCCGAGCCCGCCGAGCCCGGCTCCGCAGATGAGGAGGCCCCGAGATCCGGGCGTTGCTTTTTTTGCTCCCGCCACCGGCGTGTTCTCCCTGCGCCTCGGGCCCCCGGCCGGGGCCACCGCCGGCGAATCCGGCGCGAGAAATGCCGCCGAAAGACTGGGCGTGCCGTCTGGAATGTTTGGATAGCGAGTCGCTCCGCCAGTTCTGGCCAACCGCGCTCCGGCGCGACACGCTATCAATGTCACAGTCCCTAGGCGTCAACGTCCCGAGCTTGCCAGACCTCCCGCCCCGCGCAGAGGAGCGCCACGCCACCCGCTTGCAAGGCGTAGCGTGTCGCCCGGGCCGCCGTGGCGGCACGGCATCCAAAAGTTCCTGACCGTAGGATCCCAGCCGTGATTTCTCGCGGTGTTGCGTTTTTGCGCAGCGTCGGATCTCAGGGGTGCGGCGTGCCGCAGGCAGGCGACGGCCTGGAGGTCACCTCCCCGCTCGAGGCTGTGGAGCTGCTGCGGGAGTGCAGCACGGTGGTCGCGCTGCACCCCGACCAGGCGGCCGAGCCCGCCGTGGCGTTGGCCCTGGCTCTGGGCAAGGCCTTTGCGGTGGTGCCCTGCTGTGTCTACGCCGCGAGCTTCCCGCGGCGGAGGCTGCGCGACGGCGCGCAGGTGAGGACCTACGAGGACCTCCTGAACTACCTGCAAGGGTTCCACCCGCGCATCCGGCGCGCGGACCTGGACTTCGAGGGCAAGCGCCTTAGATGCTGTTAGAAACGCCGGGTGGCGCTTTTGATGTCCGTTCTCAAGACTTTGTTTGTTTCAGATTTGGGGCCATCTTCTTTTTCCGTCGTGGGATTCCCGCTCGCGCCGTGTTCGTTCCGGTTCCGCGCAGTTTTGCGTGTTCTTATTCGGTGTTGGGGGTCCCTTTTTGTTCCCCGGAACGGTTGAGATCCAAGGCGGGAACCATGGCAGTCCAGCAAATAAAATCATGTGCGTCTTTTGTTAGCGGTTTTCAGCTTCTCGGTGTTCGGCCAATGGCCGACACCCGCAAAGTTGTTCACAAACAGACGCCCCCCATGGCATTCAACATCATCAGCTAAGGCAAGCACACCGTGCTGTACATGACCCCCGAGGACGTCCTCGATCTCTAGAGCCGCGCGCCGCGGCGAGCGCCCGAGGGGCTGGTCCCGCCCGACACCCACGGCCTGCCGCGCAGCGCCAGGGAAGCCCTGTGTGCCAAGGCGGAGGCTGCGGCCCCGGACGTCGACGCGCCGCCCCCCCGCGGGCTGCCCTGGGCTTCATTCGCTCGGCAGCAAGTCATGGGAGCCAATCGGGGAGTCGTGCTTGCTGAGAGTTCTCGGATGTCAGGCTCAGAGGGAGGCCTAGCTGCAGACGCTGGTTGCCAATCGCGTTGGACCGCGCGAGCAACATCGCGTGTGTCCTCGCAATTCCAGCTGTAGAGTGTAGTCGCGTGCACTAGCGTTGGGTAATCGATGAGAAAGCGCCGACTTAGCGTCGAGTTTGAGTCGAATTGCGTCGCCGAACATCGGTTCGCAAGAGCGAGCAAGATGGCATGGGAGGATCCCATGAGTTGCGACCCAAGGTGTTGAGGCCGAGAGGTTGGCAACATCACCAGTATCGACGGTGTGCCTCCGCCGAGGTGAGATGATCCCGATCTCGGTGATGGCGGTAATTCTCAGGCTTTCTGGGTGGCCAGAAGATCACCACCGACACGAACGTCTATGATCATCTTCCCCTCCAGGAGGCAATCCTCTGTGTTGGTGCTGGTGCCCTTTTTCAAGCCTTCAACATCGTTGTTCTTTGCATGTTCTTGCTGTGGCCAGGCGGCCTCGGTTGGCCCGCGTGAGCTCGCTGGGACGTTCACGCCTCCGAAGAGGGCCACGAGAGCCTGGCGCGAACCCGCCAGGATAAGCATCCCAGTGATCGGGGCCCGCCTTAAGCGCTTTGCCCCCAGCTTTGAGCGCCCCTGGCGCCCCGCAGAAGGCGCCCCTATCGGCCGCGGATGTGCGCGCACCCCCTCGCAGCAGCCCCCTGGCGGCAGCGGCCGCGCTGGAGCTCTGCGATGAGCAGCCCTGCTACCGGCACTGTGGCTCGGCGGCCTGCCATTGCGCTGATGCGGGGCCTGCAGATGCGCCGCCATCCCCAGACCTCCAGCGTCTCGAGGAGACCGTTTTTTATACCCTGGCGATCACGGGCGTGACCTGGGGACGGGACGCCTTCTCAAAATCGGCGCGCGGGTCTCTGAGAAGCCCCGCCGCCTTCTGAGAAGGCTCGCCCCCTCTCATTTCCCTCAGATCCGACGTTGCAAAACATTGCAGCATAGCAATCAATGATCCCAGGAGCCCCAGACCCCATCTTTCTGCGCCGTTCTTCGAGCCGGATCGATCTGGGATCCCGTGGCCCGACACCGGACGAACGCGCTCGTTGTGAAACACATGCAGGGCCGACGTCTCGGGGTCCCCCCCCCTCGGGCTCGCCGCCAACCCTGCTCGAAGGAGGGGAGCACTCCCCCCTGCGGCGCGCCGCCGACAGGACATGAGCTTCGCTGGCCGCCGCGGCGCCTCCCCGGGCGCCCCCGCGCGCGGCGAGCGCCGCCGCCGGGGCGAGGCGGCCAGGCAGCCGCGGCCCCCCCTCGCCGGGGGCTGGCGCCGTGGGGCCACGCCGCTGGGCCTGGGAAAGATCACGAGGTTCGTCGCTCTTGTCAGGGGTAGCGATCGAGGGGGGGACACGCAGAAGGGGGGATGCATCGACCCCCAATCGCCCAGTGATCGCCGACAGGGGTCTGGCAGCCCCGACCAGCCCAGGAAGGTGCGGATTCACTATCGGGGGTCTACCGCCGATCCATCGGCGATGCATCGCCGATTCCAGGTCGATGTGTCCCCCCTATGCCAGTCCCTCCCTGTCGTTGCCCCCCATCTTCTTTGTTTTGCATGGGAGGGTCCTCACTTGGCCCCGGGGCCGTCAAGAAACGATTCGCGGGATGAGAGACACGGGTGCCGGGGAAGCGGCCGAGGCCCCCGGGGGTCGACGTCATGAAACAATTGTGGCGACGGGGGGATCTACCAGTTAAAGACATATCCCTATCCCTATGTTCGACATCACCTCACCTCGATGCCGGTCTTAAGGATTCCCTCAGCTCTTGAGGGCCTATCCCTAAGACTGTCCTCGCTTTTTGCTCGCCAATCTCAGGGATAGGGATACGTTTGAGGTATAGACTCTATACCTCAAACGTATCCCTATCCCTAAGATGGGCGAGGAGGGTTTTCAACCCTCCCTATACCTCAAACGTATCCCTATCCCTAGGTATAGGCCCTATACCTATCCCTATCCCTATCCCTAACCCTCCTGGCGCTGCGCTTTTTTCACCGCGGAGGGTTCCGCCTTGCCTCGGGCCCCGAGGGCCCTCGCAGCTCGATGCGGCTCGACGGAGATGGAGCCTTCTTCTGCGCAGCTTCGAGGCGATCACCCGGGTTCTCGGGCCCGCCTGCCCCCTTTCCGCCTGCCGCCCCAGAGGGTCTCACCTTGTTGGGGCAATTCTCTGCTGGCACCTCCTCCTCCTCCTCCTCCTCCTCCTCCTTCCCCTCCTCCTCCTCTTCTTCCTCCTCTTCCTCCTTCTCCTCCTCCTCCTCCTCCTCATCCTACTCCTCTTCCTCCTCCTCCTCCTCCGCTTCATCCTCATCCTCATCTTCATCCTCCTTCTCCTCCTCCTCCTCCTCCTCCTCCTCCTCCTCCTCCTCCTCCTCCTCCTCCTCCTCCTCCTCCCCCTCCCCCCACCCACACGGGATAACGCCGAAGAGTCAAGGACGATCTCTAGTCGTGGTCGGTGTTCTCGTCGCGTCGGCGCCGTCGGCGCCGTCGGCGGTCGGTGCTGGACGGCGTCGGCGCCGCCGTTGGGGGAGGAGGAGGACCTGGGGGAGGACAGTTCGCGAAACTTGTCTGGATTTTGTTCGAGGCCTGGGATGGTTTCCATATGCTGCGCTTTGTCGAGAGCGTGCTGGGGGTGCTGGAATCGAGGGGTGGAATGGGCTCTGTTACGCTTTCGTTCGGTCTCGGCGGTTTTCCAGCCTCGGGTTGCTCTCCAGCAGCTGCGGCCCGCCGAGAGCGTTCCGGGGGGGGCCGGGTCGTCGCGAACGGCCGCTGGAGAGCCGAGCTATGACCTCAGGACCAGAGGACGAGGATCCCTGGGAGGGGGGGATACGCTCAGAGGGGATGCCTCGGCCCCCAATCGCCCGTTCATCGCCGGTAGGGGCTTGATAGCCCACCCCGCCCAGGAACCATGGTTGCGCCATCGGGGGCTCCTCGCCGGTCCATCCGCGATGCATCGCCGATTGCAGGTCGATGTTTCCCTCCAGGCCAGCCCTCCCAGTAGTTTTCCCTCAGTGGGGGAAGAGGAAGAGATGTGGTGCGAGGCCCAGATGGCCGCCTTGTACTTCTGAGGGTTTCCTTCCGTGCACGGCCTCGGCGCCACTTCCCGCACCCGTTCCCCTCGAGATTTGCAGCGGGCCCTGCACAGCAGGAGGATGGGGCGCACCTTCGCTGCATGGATGGTCGCGCGGATCAGTGGCCAGCTCCCGTTCTGCAGTTCTGTATCCAAAAATGTTGACGTCTCGCCTTTCCATGCGCCGGCGGAGCAGCCGCCGCTTTAGTTCCGCTGGCCTTCCGTGTGCTTCCGCCGGAGGCGCGACGCGCCGAAGCCAAGGTTCTTCCTGGAACGCCCGATGTGGCGGCACGGTGACTGCCATGCCTGTCTGCGGGTGTGCGGCGGCATCGTTGGAGCAAGCTCTGACGATGTGCGCCGGCACCTGCGAGTGGCGGCGGGCGTCCCCCGAGCGCGGCGGAAGGTCGCGAGGCTGTGGGCGCGAGAAGGTGCCTCGTCCTCCCTGTCGAAACTTCTGAGGTCTACGTGGGGCACTTCGGCGTGCGCGTGGAGTTGCTCGCCCCAGCCCGAGCCCCCTCCCATCCACTCCGACTCGCCCGGCGTGCAATCACATTTTATCTCGTCAGAGGTCTGGGTGCTCGCAAAGGTTGCCAGTTGGGACAGGCGATGTATGGTGCCGGCCAGCTGTGCAAGGGGGCGCGATTGTCACCATCAGCCTACGTCCGTTGACCATTCGGCGAGGACGAGGATGTGGATGTGGGCGAGGAAGGCGATCATTAGCGGCAGCAGGTGGGCAACACGACGTGGGCAAGATGCTGGAGGAGAGGGAGGAGGACGAGGAGGACGAGCTTGATGTCCGTAGCCAGTTTGGCTCAAGTCCGTAGCGGTTCGGCGTCGGCTCAGGACCTGACCTCATTGGCGTGGGGGAGGAGCCGTCTCCCGACAGTTTCCCAGCATCCCCAGACGAGGTTTCTCTCCAGTTTGTGTGAGCCCTTGCAGGTGCATCCTTCATCCCTTGTGCTGGGCCAGCATGCCAGATGTATTATTGCGTTTGCCCGCGTACCAAGCAGCGTGGGTACCGTTGCAACTATGCGTGGCGCACGTCGTGTCGCATGTGCGGCCAAATTCCGAAGAAGCCTGTCGCCTCCGTGCCCCCGCCGCCCCGTGACAGTTGGGCTCGACCGCCGCGCATCGCAGAGTAGCGCTATCTCGGCCCCGCCAACCCTTCCAGCTTTGAGGTCGAGATCTATGCCGCCATGGCGGCCACCGGTTTCGACGCCATCAGTGACGGCTTGAAGCCGAGGGTGGTGGGGCGCGTGCCCGCGGCACGCGCCATGCAGCAAGGCGAGCCCCGTGCTTGTGCCAAGCAGGCGCGGATCCAGTAGGACCTCCACCGGCAGAGGCTCGAGGAGGCGCAGCCCAAGTACGAGCGGGCCAAGAAGCGCGCTCGCGCAGTCTGTGCAGGCCGCCGCCCAGACCAAGGCGGAGTTCGCCGAGGCTCAGGCTGCTTCCGATGCTGCGGCTGCCAAGGCCGCTCGGGCTTTCTCACCAGCTTCGCTCCTACCACCAGTTCGGATGAGGAGGCGGCTGTCAACGTCTGGGCCAAGGGCTTTCGCGACCAGCCCGCGTTCACCGATTAGGCCGCTAAGGAGAAGCTAGCGCGGATGCTTCAGCAGCTGGAGGACGTGGCTGAGGAGCTGGGCTATGCATTCCCCCCTCCTGCTGGTGCCCATGTAGCCGATCGTGCCGCTGCTGCTGGCGACGGCGCAGGTGGGTCAGCTTCCGCCGCGGACTCACCAGGTGCCCAAGGAGGGGTCGAACACGCGGCCCCCCTCGACATGAAGCTCGACAGGCTTCGTTCCGTGCTGAATACGTGTCTGCGAGCTCTTTTCCTCATCCCTCAGCAGACATCGACGCTCTCAAAGTGTGGTCGTTGCTGCAGGGCCTCTGCTTTTCCATGCTAGGGACAAATTTCTACAGCAATTCGGGCTTTGTGGCGGGCGGCGCGCTCGAGCGCGGGCCTGGACAGACACGCTTAGCTCGCAGTGTCTGGGCCGAGATACGGCGCGCGTTGTGGCATAAGGTAGCGGACTGAGGGGGGGGGCAGTGGGGGTCTTTCTCTGGTCGGAGTCAAACGACATGCCGCGCGTGCCACCGTGCAGCCAGCTCATGTTGACCCCAAGAATGTGCAACGCAGGCCTCGGATTTCTCTCGCGTCCCACTCGCGGCCCGTGGACAGATCCAGCCCAAGGCCAGAGTCCTGACGGATGTGCCACTTGGGCTGCAAGCTGGGCCCTCCCTCGCGTCGCATGACTTCCTTCATGTTTCCCCACAGCGGCGTGAGACAAAACCCTGTGCCCCGCTGCTGACCGCCCTGCCTCCTGCCACCCCTGTCACGGCCCGCAGCTTGCTCCCGGCCGATATTGGGCACGCGCGCGTGGCCTTAGCTCGAGGCAGGGCGCGCGTCGTTCATCCGTCCCAGCTGGCAGACACTGGCCAGTGGTGCGCAGCTTGTGCAGAGTGCGGTGCGAGTGGGCAAGGCGCCGTGGCATCGCTCTCTGTCTCCTGCCCTGGGCCGCCTCTCCCCTCCTCCTGGGGCGGACGGGCCCTCGGTGGTCTCGCCCAGGGCAGGTGCCAGATCGATGAGGTCTGGCATCCCTTCCGACAGTCCTGGCAGGCTGCCCGTCTGGTCCGCGCAGGAGGTGCGGGCCCCGTCGCTCCCGCAGGGGCGGCGCCCGCGCCCGCGCCCGCAGGTGCGCCGCCCGCGCCCGCACCCGCATGCGCGGCCGAGCAGCGACGAGAGCGGCTGGCCACGTCCCTGGCCGCCACCGCCGCCGCC